TAGGGGAGGAGGGGGCACAGAGGACCTCCGGGGCGATGAGGACCACCATTTTAATTTCTATATCGTTAGCCCCACCTATGCACAAAAGAGATAACCTGCATCTAGCGCTCTTAAAACGTGCGTGATTCCATTTGAGATGTAAACCCATGCATCGTTTTGTAGTGGTGTGATCCCAACGAATTTCATAGTAAGTGATCTAAAATTTATACAATTTCCTGTGCCCGTAGAATGTCACTTGTAATAGCTATCGGTTTCAAACTTTGCATATTAACAGTCACATACCTATGTTACCAAACGTTAAGTAGTGTTCCATAAATCATAATTAAAACAAAACACAGGTTCGAAAATTTAACCTACAAGATCAACATGGGGGGCGAAAAGGACCGGAGTGAATGGGGCGAAGGGAACCGGTCCTCTTTACCCCCGTATACACGATTTAATATTAACGAATCGTTTGCTTGTGTACCTACTCGAATTTTGGGAATTGAAAACATTTTGATCTATTAATGCCACAAATCCCACTTACCTACTTCACAATAAAAATGCCCATGCCGTTTAAACTATGTGTTTTGTTTATTAGATGGTACGAACGTATAAAAGAAAAACGGAAGATAAATGGAACTCTGCTACTATGCAAGCCGCTTTAGACGCTGTTAGATCAAATACTCTGTCTATTAGAAAAACCAGTCAACGCTTTAACATCCCAAAGACTTGTTTGCTTCGACGTTTGCATAACGTTGTCGAACACCCGGAGCCTAGAAACGACACTTACAAACAAGTTTTTACAGCTGAACAGGAAAAGGTGTTGCTTAACCACATACTGGATTTAGAAAGTCGATTTTATGGCATAACAGCCACAGAGTGTCGGAAACTCGCGTTTGATTTGGCTGAAAGTTTGAATATAAAACACCCTTTCAATAAAGATGTCAAACTTGCCGGGTACGATTGGTTTACAGGATTTAGGAAGAGAAATCCTCAATTTTCAATTCGTGCCCCTGAGCCTACTAGTGTAGCTAGAGCTGTTGGGTTCAACAGACCGCAAGTAGAGAGATTTTTCAGTCTTATTGACTCCACACTAAGAAAACATAATCTTCAGGCCCATCAAATCTTTAACATCGATGAGTGCGGTTTTAACACTGTTCCTGTTCCAAGAAAAATATTAGCACAGAAGGGCAAAAAACAAGTTGGCCGCATCGTAAGCGCTGAAAGAGGATTCAACACTACGGCTGTTTGTGGAATATCTGCGTCTGGATTTTACATCCCTCCATTTTTCCTTTTTGCAAGGCAAAGAATGAATCCTTTGTTAATGAAAGGATGTTCTGCTGGATCACAGGGATACGCAAACAGTTCGGGGTGGATGGATGGTGACCATTTCCTGAAGTTTTTGGATCATTTCATAAACGTTGTTAAACCAAGCGAAGATCGAAAAATCCTTCTTGTGTTAGATAATCATGGCAGCCATTGGACACTAGAAGCGATCACTAAAGCCAAAGCGAATCACATAATTCTAATATCTCTTCCTCCACACACGAGCCATAGGTTGCAGCCTCTTGATTGCTGCATATACGGCCCTCTTAAGGCCCAATATGCGAGAGAATGCGACGTCTGGATGACAAATCACCCTGGGCAGCGCCTCTCCATCTATGAGGTAGTGGAAATATTTTCTACTGCGTTTGCACGTATCGCTAGCGTAGAGAAAGCAGTTAAAGGTTTTTCTGTTACCGGTATATGGCCTTTTAATCCTACTGTATTTAACGACCAGGATTTTCTTCCGTCCGAAATGACTCATGTAGAGGAAATGGTAGATGATTTACAACCGCAAGAGAAAGAAAACCAAAATAAAGTAACCGAACAACCGATCCACGATCGTGAAGATCGTGTTGATGAAACTCAGTCTTTTGCAGAATGTATTGAACTCCTTTCTCCTAAACCGTCTACATCAAAGAAACGACAAGCATCGAAAAGAAAAACGCAACGCTCCGAAGAATTAACAAGCACACCATTTAAAGATGAGCTAGAAAAGATCATCGCTGCGAAGGAGAACCCAAAGACCAAGGTGAAGCGAAAATTATCAGATGAATCTCATGCTACTCAAAAAAAAGGAAAGGGAAAGCAGCAAATGAAAAACACAAAAAAACGCCAGGTTTCGTCCGAAAGTGAAGATGATCAACAGAATACTGAGTGTTTGTATTGTAACAGCTCTTTCTTGCAATCCAAATCGGGCGAAGGGTGGATTCAGTGTTTGCTGTGCAAGCAATGGGCACACGATGCTTGTGCAGGCGTTGAGGATGATGAGGATGTTTTTCAATGCAATCTCTGTATTAATAAATAAGTAAAATGTCTTGTAACATGTGTAACTTATTTACGTATGCGTTTTCAGCTTGGATCAAACTTACACTGGACAATTATTGAAACGGTCTTTTTCGCCCCCAGTGGAGGTCCTTCTCGCCCCACATGCTGGGGCGAAAGGGACCATTGCAAGTTTCTGATTTTTTTAATATTGCATAACGTTGAATACACCTTTAGTCTACCTTGCATCAGCAATGGCAATTAGAGAGTCCTATCTTACTATGATGTACAGGTTTTTGCTTTAAATTAACTGATAAGCAAAACAGAAGGCATTTAACCTTGAGAGGTCCGCTGTGCCCCCACCTCCTACTTGACTACTACAATAAGTAGTTCCTGAAATTTTATTTTATTTAATAAAAAGCAAGTTTTTTTTTATAATAAAAAAATGGTTAGTATGTCATCTCACCCGGACTATCACGGGTGAGATGGCATACAATGGCTTTGAGTGTTTAATAGTTTAGGTAGGTACTCCTAATTTACTGTATTAACGCACAGTTCACAAATAAAAGTTTTAGAATTTCTTGCAAGTCCGGCACATTCACAGTGAGCCCATTTTGCACAAGATTGGCATTTCAACCACCATTCGTTACGCCTTGACTGCGAATAAAGCTCGTTGCAATAAATACCGACGGCGTCGTCTTCATCATCAGTATCTTCAACTGGAAACTCCTCCTCCTCCTGCGCGTCTTTTTGAATTTCTTTATACTCATGTAGATTTAAAACTCTCTTTGTCTTGCGAGCAGACTTTCTTCGTTGTGCCTTTTTTCCCTGTGTCCAGCTATTTTTTAAATTGTAATATTTGATTGTGTTAATTTCTTAATTTCTTTAAGAATATCTTCAATGTTTTCATAATTACCAGCATCAAGTTTGATCACGTACCAACCGCCGTTTTTATACATAGAGGTTCCGAGATTATTACGGAAAAATGTCGCTGCACTTTCTAAAACTTTATTTAACGGCAAATCTTTTATTGGCGCTTCTCTGTAGTAAATTAAATTGTCAGTTTCACTGATTGACGCAAACGCACAAGGATATTGTATTTCGGCTACCCCCACGGCCCAATTACCACTTAATCTTATACGCTTTGGCAACTGTGTAACAAAGTGTGAAGTTGTATTGTTGGGAAAATAATCGAGCGAACTATTGCTTAACAGTGTAATGTAGAATTCTTCTTCCATTTTATATGTTTTGTAGTTCTGACGCAGATATCCAAGAATTGAATTTGTCACTATAACCTCGCCACTTCACTAAATACTTTTTATTTTTTCCTCTTCCTTTTTCTTCCAAAACTTTGTCAATTTTATATACTGTATCTTCGTCTATCGTAACAGCTTGCAGTTCTTCTTCATAAAAAGTTCCTTCTATATCTTCACCGTTTAAATCTACTATTCTGTACACAGGCGGACGCCTTTTTATAACTTTAATAATTTTAAATACTTCTTGACTAAAATTGCTCTCATATCCTTTCTCAAAATGATATTTGCTTCTGGCAATTCTCACATGTTGTCCAACTTTATATATGGGTCGAGTTTCTTTACCAAAACCCTTCGCGTAGAGGTTCTGCCAAACTTTCAAGATATTTTCTTCGTTCACATCATTAGGCGCCATCTTGATTGATGAATGATAGGATTTGTTATATGCAGACACCAAATCTTGTAAAACGTTCACATATTTGAATGTGTTTTTATACGTAAAGTATCGGTGTATTTTTGACTTTAAGGTACGATTTAGTCGCTCGACAATGGCCGCTTTTACGTCGGGATTATGAGTTACATAATAATTTATAGCGTATTTCTTAAACAATTGTTGTACACTTGCTGCAACAAATTCTTTTCCTTTGTCAGTTTGTATATTTTCAGGTGTATTGCCACATTCTTTAAAAATTGAGGAAAACGCTTCAATTACAGAATTTGCGGTTTTTTGCTTGAGAGGTCTTGCCCATGCTTTCTTACTGAATACGTCAATGGCACATAATGCAGGAAACATTATGAAGTGGATGGCGAATCTGGATTTAGCCTATGTTGTAGAATGCAACGTTGTAAACACAATACAGGTGCAATATGGGTTGAACAGTGTAACATTAATGTTAGTATAATGGTCATAATACTGTATCATCCCAATGTTGACTTATCTATATGGATTTCTTTCTTATTGGATTATATACAGATTCCTTAAGTGCCATAACTGCTATTGAAGATATATTCTCTATAAATGAATATGTTAAGCGTATCTTATGTCTCAATACGTACTTATACTTACAAACTTTAAATAAAAGTCTATGGACTCCTGCACATGTTGACATTTTGGGTAATGAACGAGCAGATGCCGCTGCTAATGCTGCAGCAAACATGGTAAATGCGACAGATACTGGCATCCCAACAACTACAGATGACCAGATAAAAGAAATTCATAAAATCATCGTAAATCTATGGCAGAAGGAATGGGACAGGGAGGAATCAAATTTAAAAATTGTTAAACCAAATATTGGAGTTTCTGCGCTATAATGTAAACAGAAGAGGCGAGATCAAGTGGTGCTTACGAGATTACGAATTGGTCACACTAAATTGACCCATCAATATCTGCTTACGGGACAAAATCGGCCGATTTGCGATACCTGTAATGTCCGATTGACTGTAAAGCATGTTTTGCTAGAATGCAGAAAATTTAGTGCAGCAAGAACTAACATTACAATACCAACAAGTATACAAGATGCCTTGCGCACGAAGTATTTTAAAAAAACGCTCATGTACTTAAAAAATATTGATCTATATAAAGAAATTTGAAGATGTATATACTTACCGGCGTGATATTATTTTCATGTTATAACAGTACTGTGAAATATAGAAGTCCGTGTAAACAGGCAAATGGCCTTAGCAGTCGACGCCTGTATAAATAAATAAATAAAAATAATAATAATGTATTTGCTGCCAGGAGATCAATAACATTGATATTAGCAAAGTCACATTAAAATATGAATAAAAAATGTATATAACACAACACGTAAGTTAACTAACGAACATACAAGTCGTTTACTTTATACAGTGCTTTCTCTAGTAGAAATGCTTTCAGTTTTTTTTTAAACAGATGCGGTGATTTTTCCGTTGATATATTGAGAGGCAACGCATTGTATACCCTAATGCCATTATATGCGGGGCTTTCTTTCGTAATTCGCCGAGTTATGTTTGGGAAAAGACAGAGATGCACCCTTTCTTGTAGAGTAAGTGTGGTAGGAGCTGAGTTTCTCGAAGTGGTGCATATTATTGTATACAAATAAACATAATTTATAAACGTACACAGATGGAAATGTTAAAAATTTATGGTTTTTGAATGTAGACTTACAATATTTTAGTGGCTTAAGACTAAACATAAGGCGAACGATCCTTTTTTGAGCTAGAAACAGTCTAGATATTTCGGAGGAATTCCCCCAAGCTATGACATTAAACGTAATATAGGGAAATACTATTGCATGATACACTTCTATCGAGTATATGAATTAGTTTCAACATAACATAATATGCACTACTTAATTTCTTCACCACATGGTCAACATGTTTTGCCCATGTAAGGCCTGTATTAAACGTGTTGTTAAAGTGCTTTTGTTGATCATTTTTAAAACTTGTATACATTTCTTAAGGAGCTTCGCTTGCCAACACTAATAAATTTTTGAATCAAAACTGAATAAATACAATAATTCCACTGGAAAATATTTTATTTTTGTTGACACGTTTCGACAAATTTATGTCATTATCAAAACATCAATCAATTTTGATAATGACATAAATTTGTCGAAACGCGTCAACAAAAATAAAATATTTTCTAGTGGAATTATTGTATTTGTTCAGTCTTGAATCAGATATGGAGTTCCACAAAGTAATTCTTAACAAAATAGATGATAATAAATTTTTGTTCGAGCGATCATTTAATAAATGTAGGTTTTGAACAGTGGCAGAAATTACTTGAATTGTTACTAATAACAGTTACTCAAAATCCTTTGTTACGTTATGATATAAGAAAACAAATCACCTTAAATAAAGCAAATTCAGAAAATAACTCTAGCAGTAATAAAAATTCCACTTTTCGATATGTTTTAGCCTTTGCTATACACACAATGAAATTGAAAGAACGATTTGATTTTATAATAACACATTTTTAGATTGAAAACCGTTACCATTGAGAAATTTTAAAATTGTCGTAAATCATTAATAATAAATTAATAGTAATTTAGTATTTAGTAACATTAGGAAGGATATACAGGGTGTCCCTAAAAGGTCTGTACAACGCGCTACCAGGGGTTCTTGGTATCAAAATATGACGATTTAACCCAACTTACCTCTATCCAAAATTGCTTCGGTAAGGCGCTATCTACCGCCAAAGATTTAAAAAAAAAATCGTTATTTTTATTTTATCGGAAAATGGTTTTGCCGATTAAAATGAAATTCGGGATGTGAATGTCTAATGTAAAAAGGGTCTTTGTGATATCGACGTTTTGATTGTAGTTGCTATGTAGGTGGTAAAATACTGACCATCCACATCTGAAGAGGTCTAAAACTTTTTAACTACTATTTTGACGGTTCTGAATTTTTGGACACTGATAGACAGTTTACTTGCAAGCATTTTTTGTCTCTTGATGAATATCGCTATCTGTTTACGAAAAAAAAATAAATTTAGGCATAATGAATGGCATGCACCATACATGCGATTGTTCCTCAAAAACCATAAGTGCAAGCAAGAAGTAGGCTATGAAACCGTAGTGTATGTAACGTAGAATAAACGAACACAACAGAGTAAGTCAATGTAATGTATTAATTTAAACTACTAAATGTTCAAAGTGACCTCCATTTTCATGCATACAAAGCATTATACGGCGTAATAAATTAAACTGTACCCTTTGCAACATTGGTACGTTATTTTTTAAAGTTTCTACAGAATTTTGAATCCGCCGCCACAATTCCTCTTCCGTATTAACGGGTGTGGAATACACCT